ATTGATTGTTATGAACAAATGGAACCAATCTGGACAGTAAGCAAGTAAGAAACCTGCTAGAAGAGTATGGAATCAATCAAAAGTTGGCAGCGGTTAGCCATCCGTAGGTGAACGGTCAAACCGAAATCACAAACAGAATAATCTTTACTTATATCAAGAAGAAGCTTAAGGACAAGAAGGGTAAATAGTTGGACGAGCTTCTGAATGTCTTGTGGGCTTATAGAACAACCCCTAGACAACCAACTGGCGAAAACCCATTCGCTATGGCGTACGGCACTGAGGCAGTAATATCGATTGAGCATTTAGTTCTGACTCTTCAAAGTTTGGCATGTGATCAAGAGCAGAACGACAATATGTTAAAATTTAACCTTGATTTGCTAGAGAAAAAAAGAAAAAGAAAAGAGATACAGCAGCAATAAGACTCGCTTCTTATCAGCAAACACTTATGAATAGTCACAACAAAAAGGTGAAGCATGGAGATTTTGCACCTGGTGATTTAGTTCTGAAAAAGAAGGTAGGAATCGTCAAAAAGATGATGTCACCCTGGGAAGGTCCATACAGAGTTGTAGAAGCCATAGGAAGGGGGGTATACAATCTATAGACCATGGCTGGAAGATTGGTCAATAAACCATGGAACGCCACATCTCAAAAAAGGTATTACCAGTAGAATAAGATTGCAAGATTAAATTCCATTCTGCACGATGTTCAATTGTGCTTATATGAATGTGTTGATCCATCGAGATTTATAAAAAGAGTTCATTTTGTTTCAAAAATTCATTGAGCAAAAAACACTTAGTAAAAGACAAGTGGCAAATGACATTATGAGCCGAATGCCAAAAACTTGTACAAAAATAAAAAGTCTAGTGGCAAGTGGCATTCTAGCCGAGTGCCAAACACTTAACCAAGTAAGTGGCAAATGGCACTATGAGCTGAACGCTAAAAACTTACACAAAAATAAAAAGTTTAGTGGCAAGTGGCATTCTAGCCGAACGCCAAAAACTTGCACAAAAATAAAAAGTCTAGTGGCAAGTGGCATCCTAGCTGAGCGCCAAGCACTTAACCAAATAAGTGGCAAAAGGCACTATTAGCCGAACGACAAATACTTGCACAAAATGAAAAGTCAAATGGCACTATGAGCCGAATGCCAAACACCGAGCAAAATTAAAATTATCATTCCAATTCAAATACAAGCCGAAATAAGAGCATTTGGCAAGATTAAATTATCATTCCACTCATCATTACAAAATAGTTCTGGGTATACAAAAAGTGATATCAAAATGAAATGAAACGAGTACAAAGGTCAGCAGAACTCTAATTTATCATTTCTTCTCCTGTTGCCGATCCATTGCCCATTCCACCATCATTGGCTGCCTCATCATCTCCGGCTGGTCCATTGTCACCTTCCCCATCATTGATCATTTCCTCGTCTCTTGATGGAGAGTCAAGATAAATGACCTCCTCAGTTGGCAGAGCTCTATCAGTGGTTACAATGGCAGGAGGAACAATAGTAGTGATGGGAGATATACTCAGAGGCGAACAAGTGGGATGACCTCAGATGTTGCAATCTCATTGCACTCTATGAATATATATTCGGCAGGGTCAGGAAGTAGATCGGTGCAAACGTTCGGCAGGTCAATCTTTAAAAATTCGTCAACATCAACTGGACCTGTATAGGAGCTCGTTTGACCTTCAGGAGGGGAACGATCAATAAAACCATCTCTGTACCCCTCAGCATATCTGAGAGCCCCAATCTGAGAAAAGCAAGCATGAAGAGCCTTCATGCCACCATCAACTCTGCCTATAACATTTAGCAGAGCGGTGCGCTCGTTCGAACATTTCTCTTCAAAAACAGAACGGGTTAGCTGCTCAGAAACAAAAGAGTGCTGCAGGTTTCCCTTCTCGACCTTCAGCACATCTCTCTCAGTTTACATAACGTTTCTTTCCGTCTTCAAGACGTCCATCTCATCATGAAGAGAGTCCCACTTGTTCTTTAGAGCATCTTTTTCAACCTTCAAAGCATCTAGTTCTCTCTGATTCAGCTAGCTTAACCAACAGTTCTGTATTTTTGGCCTCTGCTATGGCCATACCCTTAACAGATCTGTCAAGTCCAAGGGAGAGGGCTTTAACTCTCTTATTTGCCAATTCAAGATTCCTTTGAAAAGTGATCATCCTGAACAAAGTCTACATAAAGACACAAGCATTCTGATACAATTAGTACATGTATGAGAAGATCTGAATGAGAAAAGATGAATGAAAGTTTGTCTAAAAGGCAGAAAAGAGCTACCTCAACAGCAACTGCGAGAAAGCAGTTGAACATTTCATTAAAGGACGTCTTTTTCTGGGTATTTAGGTTCTGTGGGGTCCAAATGCCCTTGTAGAAAGCAAATAAAGTGGCAGCATCCTTGAGCACAGTGTCTTTAGGAGCCACAATCGACCCATCTTCCTGTTTGAGTAGAGGATGCCATGGAACAACTGCTGGGGAGGAAACAGAAGTTCTAACCGCTTCACCTTCTGGAATGGACACCTGTGATAAAGGGAGAGTGGTGGTAACCCTGTAAGTCCTGGCCCTTCGAGCTGAAGAAAGGTCACTTTGGTTTGACCCACCCTCAGGCTGAGGTCTCTTACCTATGCTTTTTTCCGAAGCAGCTGTTCGGACAGGATCATATCCCTCAGTGTTCAGAGCAGTAGGTGGAGAAACCTCGGTTGAAACCACGGGAGGATTATCGTTTTGCATGTTGGGAGGAACCTCAGTTGAAGTGGATGCGAGAGGTTCGGGAGTAGGCTAGTCAAGGTTCTGAGAAATAACCAGAGCAGTTGGAATGGCCACAGAAGTAGCTGGGGCAGTCGCAGGAACAGCTACAGAAGGGTTCTCCCTCTTACTGAAGAAATGAATTTGTATTTGTTCCATGGTAGCACCTAGGATTGAGATGTCAGAAAGATTTTCTGAAGTGAGTAGATCGGAAGCAGAGGGAATGGTGTTCAGTACCTTTTCCTTTAGAAAATCAAGTCTAGCCTTGCAAACACTGAAAAACCAATTCATCATGAGGAATGTGAAGGCAACGGCAAAGGAAAGTGCAAAAACGAGGAAGACAAATTTCACAGGGGCAATCGTTCTTATGTTTTTTATATAAAGGGACAGAACATTCCCCAAAAGTGGTCGAGATAAGGAAGATCTGAGCGATTGGAGTTTGCCAAGCTCCATTGAGCCCAATAAAATTACTTCTCCAACCTTTTTCAGAAGCGAGTTTATCCATGCATATGGATCATTTTTCGAGGGGGAAGAAGTGAAAGTACATATCATCGGTTCTGATTTTGGTAACTCGATAGTAGAGGAGAAGGTCCAGGATATCAAGATCTAGATTTCTGTCATGGTTTAAGATCAAGAGAACTGATATCACCCTAAAGAAATTGGGGTTAACTTGAAGAGGAGAAAACCCTAATTTATTAAAGACATAACAGGAAAAACGGATGCAAATGGAATCTAATTACGTTTAAGTGAAGAACGGAGAAGAGGATCTCTCCAGGAAGAAGATCCTCACCAGTTCTCTCCTTCAAGCCCTCGGGTAGTACCTAATGGAAATGTTATTGGGTATTTCATACCTCGATCGAAGGGTTTCTAAGTCAGGAACCATCACAATGATGAAGGAAACCCTTAGATTTGGTTTAGTTTTAAGGAAAATAAAGAATAGAGTCCTCAAAGAAGCAATAAAGGATTAAAACTAACCTTAGAAAGAAGATCCAATGAACGTACCGCCACGAAATGAAGGGTGAAGAATTGCAAAAGAAGGAATCGCCGAAGGAGATCTGGTTACTGATGGGGAGATATGAGAAAAACATAAACTGCAAGGTTAGGGGGTTTTAAAGAAGAAATGACTCGTCAACCGAGGAGTCAGGACAATGATGATATTTCAAATTTCAAAACGTGGGCCTCTGAACCAACTACTCACTTCCCACGTCACCACTTCGAGCTGTCATGTTATAATGGCAACTCTTTGGTAATCTCACCCTAATCAATTAGGGAGAGATTAAGGGGCAAGTGAAGGTACCAAAAATGGACTGGGCCGGGTACGACCCATATCACTAAAGACTGGATCAGGAAAGAACATTTAGCCCGGTTAGATGACCACCCATCAAACCCAACATCCATGGAGACAATCTAAAAGCTCAATCTCAAAGCAAAGGAAAAGAGCAGGTGATCGAAAAGAGCCCAAAGATCGGTCCAACATGGAAGATTAAAAGGGAAGCTTCTAGAACAATTGTAAAAGTCTATAAATAGAATGAAAAGAGAAGGAAAATGGGTTGAGATATTTTGAAGTGTAAAGACTTATCTTTTCAAATGGAGAGGCTTTGTTCATTGCAACTTCAATTATTAAGCACAAGAGCCTCCACAATCTTTGTACTAGCATTATTATGATGAAATAATCTACCTACCTTAATAGGTTTTCCATGATTTCGGAGCACCAAATCACTGCCACTAAAACCATTTAACTTATGGAAGACAACCAATTTTTTTTTTACCCTTCATTGCATAATTTAAAAGTCACCCTATATAAGCTGATTTAACCAAGAAACAACCATATAAAGTACCTACTTATAACACTCTAAAAATACAATTAAATTATGTTGAAGTTTAAAATTTTTGAAGAAAAAATAACTTTAAAAGCCGAGGAGTTGTAGAGAATTCCTTGACATAATATTTTTAATTGGTCAATATATGCAAGATATAAAGAAATGAGTACATAAATGATCAATTAAGAGTTGAAAAAAAAAAAAAAAAATGATGAATTAAGAGTCTTCAGTGCCCGACTCTTCAGTCTGAGTGAGAAACACAACAAAACATTTTAACCGATCTCAAGGTTTCAAGATTTATTGGGCCAAACTTTATAGGTTTTTAGAAAATATGTTGGTCTAAAAAAGTTTACACAGAATATGTTTTGTTGGCTACTAGGCCCAATCACCAAGGGCCCAGACCCATTTTACATCTTCCACCGATCAGTTGCAGTAGTTCCAAATTCTGCTCAGCTCTCTCTCTCTCTCAATGGACTTCTCTCCCACCTCTCGCCGGAGTCGCAGAGGCCCAAACAAGTCCGACCTCTACGCCACAGACGACGACGACGAAAAACCACAGCGACAACACTCGGACCCAAAATCGCTACGACAACGCAAGGAGGAAGTGGAAGAAGACATATACGCAACAATGCTACGCAAAGACGACGACGACGACGACGAAGACGACGACGCATCTCTTCCTCCACTCCTCAAACGCGTCCCCAAAGACTTCGGTGTCGCCGTCGACTACGACGACGAAGACGAGTACAGCGGAAGCATCTCCGGGACAATGATCGTCAAGACCGATCGGAATCGCAACCAGTCGTATTCTTCTTCGGCGCGGAAGCCCCATGGTTCGAATTACCTGGATCGGAATCGAGCGAGTCCGAGGAAGAGGGTTGAGGAGGAGGAGGAGAATTTTTCGACTTTCGTGGTGAGATCGACGGTGAGGGACAGAGACGGAGATGGGGAGTCGATTTCGGGGACCTTCGTGAGGCGGACTAGTGGTGGTGGTGGAGGTATGGATGGTTCGACGATGAGTAAGGCGGTGGCGAGTATGCAGGCTGTGGGGGAATTAGGGTTACGGAAGCAGAGGAAGGGGAGTGGTGCTTCGTCTTCGCACGAGGAAGGTCGGCTTCAGCAACTGGCGAGCAAACTGTCTTCGAGTTCAATTCCAGACAGTGTTACGAGGGAAGATCCTTCTACTAAATACGAATTGCTCCACGAGCTTGGTAAATTTACTATCTTACTTGTGTGTTTTCATGAAAACTTAGTTTAATGTGATTTTTGAAAGTTCTATAACTGAATTAATTGTGATTCTATATAATTTATGTGATATCAACTCCACATTTGTTTTCGAATGTGAGTGAGCTGACTGTGATATGTATTATTGTGATATGCGATTGTTGAGGGAGGTTGTTGTTTGGGAATGGCAGGGAAAGGTTCTTATGGGGCTGTTTACAAAGCTAGAGATTTGAAAACTTCAGAGTTGGTTGCTATCAAAGTCATATCATTAAGTGAAGGGGTATGTTTGTTCTTCTATTGTAATTCAGTTTGATGATTGATTGGGTTGGGTTAACTGTTGCAAATGAATTGTGATGCTTTATGCATTCAGGAGGAGGGGTATGAAGAAATTCGTGGCGAAATTGAGATGCTGCAGCAATGTAATCATCCAAATGTTGTTCGATACCTGGGAAGCTACCAGGGAGAAGAGTACCTTTGGGTAGGAACAAGAACATTCACTTGTGTTGCTCGGATTTTAAAGATTTATGGGCTTTTTATTAGTTGAAAAATGTCATTTATTTATCTCTTTATTCCATTTTGGTATGTGGAATTTGGGTGATAATTTTCATCTAACTACGATAATGGGAATTTTCAACGTCTTGACAGATAGTAATGGAATACTGTGGGGGTGGAAGTGTTGCTGACTTGATGAACATCACAGATGAGGCTTTAGAGGAGTGTCAAATAGCATATATATGTAGGGAAGCATTGAAGGTACCCTTTAATCTGATTGGTTATATTGAATATTGAAATTGTTATGGAAAAAAAGAAAATTAGTTTCAAAAATTGGAAATGTTGAATGAAGCTTAAAGAAACATCAGTTTTGATTTTTCTGTTTGATAAAGGTTAAAATCTTTAGATGATAATTTTGTTTGACATGGTCAAATATTCAGTTCTATTTTTAATTTTCTTCTACTCCATTGATTGTTGTTCTGAAGATCTTTTCCATTTGATGTAGGGTCTATCTTATTTGCACTCAATTTTCAAGGTACATAGAGATATTAAGGGTGGTAATATTTTATTGACTGAACAAGGAGAGGTGAAATTAGGTGAGTGCTTTTTACCACATTTCTTCATAGCAATTTGTATCTTCATGATCTCATAAATTTATGAACCTTCTTCCCAATTTGAGGATGGAGAGCAAGTGATTTGACCAAATCTTAACAAAACGTGGAGTGTACATCTTGTAATTCTTTTGCTTCTGATAGCATATTGATTCCACAATTGGAGTAACCGTTTTCACAATACGAGCAGGTGATTTTGGGGTTGCAGCACAGCTGACAAGGACCATGTCCAAGCGTAACACGGTAAACCTAATGCTTTAACTATTATATAGATAAATTATAGTTTTGAATTGGGACAATTATGTTCGATTAGTTTTACTTAATAACTACTCTGAAAATTGTGTTATATGGATCAAAAGTTGTATCAATGTGCTCAAGGTGATGCCCAGGTGATTCGGGTCGGAAAATAAGTCAGATATCACATAACCTTTTCCTGAAGCAAGTTCCAAGTGATAAGCAAAAATTCTTGTATCTATTAAATTCATAAGACCAATACTATAGTGTCAACAGATGTTCAAAAACAAGAACTTATCAAAAAAAAAAAAAAAAACAGATGTTCAAAAACAAGAAGCAAAGAATTATATGTTAAACGCTGTAGTGTTTTTCCTTTTCCTTAATTGTGGGCCTTCTCCCCTTAACACATGATATGTTCTTCTGTCGGTTTTCTTCCTGTTGAATTACTTGGTTACTTATTCATTTATCTAACGATTTAAAATCAGGAGTACACAGTAAATTTTTTCTAGTTTTCTGATAAGCAGTTTGCAGTAAAATTTCTGATACATATTATCAATTGTATGAGATTCTCCTTAGGTTGTATGATAAATGAAATTTTGGGATGGTTTATAATTATCAGATTCTCCTTTGTGTGACTTTTTAGATATAGCAGAATGGAAACATAGGATTCATGATGCCGATCCCAAATAGTTGGGAAAAGGCTTTGGTTGTTGTTGTTGTCCTCTTTATGTGGCTTTTCTTAGTCTTTTCAAAATTGTTGCAAGTATGAATTGTGAAATTTGAGTCTTCACCAGGGTCAGTGAGTGGCATCAACAAATATTGTGGGAACCTACAATACCGGTATGTTTACATCATTGAGTATGCTTGTAGTGTAGTTCTGGTTAAATATGGATCTTCTGCACAATGGATGGCTGGGTTACTTCATCAGATGTAGTTTTAACTCGAGGATCATCTAAATTAAATTTTAGCGAGATTCCTATTTAGGAAAATTATGTGGAAGTCCCTGTTCTTTTGAGGTTGCTTTCTCATCAGAGAAAAACGAAATCTGTTATTGAAAAATCTTACTTTTCTTACTACTTTGGTTTCTTTGCAAAGAAAAAATGGAGGATTGTTGAAATGGCGACAATGATGGCTAATCATTTACTTAAGTGCTATTTGATGACTGAATTCAATATTTAATTATGACTAAATTACGTCCTTTTGATAAAACATTTTAGATATCACTTAAAGAATAAATATACGTAAAGTAGAATAAAATTTAAAGTGAAGGAGATTTCACTTGTAACTGTAACACTTGAGATTCAACCAAAAATCAAAGTAGTTCTCAATTAACAGTTCGTACTTAAAAACTCCGACGCTTAAAATATTCAGTTCCTAAACTTTTTAGTGTTTAATTTTCAGTTTTATCAAACAACACCTTAGTTTTTTATCTGCTCATATTAATGAAGATTCGTCTTTGAACACTTGTTGGCCAACATTTGTTCTAACATCCTAGGCCCAGTCAAAAGCTTTTGAAATTTCTGTTTTGAGGGACTTCACTGCTAACGAGCATTGGTAAGCTGTTGCAAGCAATCAATTAAAGCGATTCCCTTCATTATTATATATAATCTGTCTCAAGGCCCTGCCCGTGTACCATCCTTTTTTCTCTTGAATCTCCTTATCTTGGTATTGCTGTACTAATTGATTTGAATTTTGGTGGTAATTTCTCTTTAGTCAATCATTGGAATCTTTTATTGGTGATATTTTGTTTATTTTTCAGTTCATTGGCACTCCCCATTGGATGGCTCCGGAAGTTATCCAGGAAAATCGCTACGATGGAAAGGTATAATAATGTACATTTGAAAGTCCTTAGATTGAAATAGCAAATAGCATTTCCTTAATAATGTACATTTCAGTTTATGTGTAGCTTGGCTAAACGAATGCATAAGTCTGATGCTTATCTCCTTGGATAATTTCATCGATGTTGCTGAATGCTGCTTTCCTTAAAACATTTTGATTGAAAAAGATAAGTGATAATTTTTACACTAGTTGGTGTTTCACCCATCGCTTGCCTAAGCAGGTGGAGGACTTGATATTTGAGAGGTGTACGGAATATAAATTAGTAAACAACTCTGTTCTTCAAAAATCATTAGTCAGCTCTCTTTTAGTATTATGTCTAAGTGTCTTCATTTTGTATTATAACGTAAGTTGATATGAAAGTAGCAAGTGCTTTTGTACCATAATTTCAAAGTGTCATATTCAACCTAAAGTTGACTCTAGGCAATGGCATAGGACCTTATCGTCTCATTGTTGTTAGAGGTTTTCGTATGAAATAAATGAAATTTTATAATCTGTTTGTACGTTAAGTTTGACAAGAGATATAATGCGGTTGGCATCTTTTCCTGACTGAACCACAGCTAAATGGAAAAGTTTGGCTATGCAGAGAAAAGAGGAGTAACTATTATATTAGCAATTTTTAGCTAAACAAAGGTGTGTTTGCAACCTAAAAAACCAAATTCTTGGTTTGTGTGTTGGGAGTTGTGGTTATGAGTAGCAGACAATTTATACTCATAAAAAAATAAAATAAATAAATAAAAGGAAAAAGAAGAAGAATAATACTATCAGACTATTTATATGTGGAAAACATGGTTGATTTAAAGTGCATGCCAACATAGTGAAGTTGTTCTACATTTGATAAATTTGCATATGAGAATGGTATGAATGCAATAAACTTGACATATATTTTTTCCTTTGCATTGATGTGAAGATTATCTAATTCTTGTGCTTAGATGAACGTCTGGTAACATGTGGAAGGTTCAACTGGTAGTGCAAAGTAATATTTTCTTCATTGTTGTCATTCACTTCAGTTAGCAACGTTTTTTTTTTCTTAGTTGGTTACTCACACACACATGCCTTCATGGAGGCTTGAACCCCAACCTCCCTTTGGGAAGTAAGGGCCTGATACCACTAGGCCACTGGCCCGTTGGTCACTTCAGTTAGCAACTTTAATGCTTTATAGTATGTTACTTGTATGATTGAAATACAATACCTGGATATGATTCATTTTAATTCTTTTTTTTTTTTTTTTTTGTGGATAATTTGCATTCATGTCATTGAAATATCTTTTTGCAATATTAGATATAACTGGTCAAATTAACTTCTCTGGTTCAATATAACATTCATTTTTCAGGTGGATGTTTGGGCTCTTGGAGTATCTGCAATTGAGATGGCTGAGGTATATCTATTCAGTGCATTAATGGTCTTACATTTCCAGGAAAATCTAGGTTGATTTGTCTCAATCCTATTTCCCTACATCTCCATTTCCTTTAGTTGTTTTTTGCCCAACCGGTGCAGTAGTGCCAATATGAAACTGACCTTGGTTCTTATGTAATGGAGACGAATGTAGAGAAAGAAAGTTGGTACTGTTGGTTGATAATTTAATATGCCATTTCTAAGTTACTTTATTATTGATGGAGTAATCTGGTATCAACTCCTATCCTAAAATTTTTTATTGGTCAAACACTATTTTATTTTTTATGTATGTGTATATGATAGTCCACCAGACTTAATATACAATTATTGACACTTACGTAACTTTTGTGTGTTTATGAGAATTTGGTCTACGTAGTTTAACTTATTCCCTATAAACTTAAGATTTGGAGCAACTTATTGTCTAATATGATCAGAGCTTTGATCATGTAAATCTTTGGTTCAAGTCTCTCCATTTGCATTTTTTCTCATGTTCTATTTTGTATGTATTTCTCCACGAGCGAGAAGGGGTTGCACATGAGGGAGGGTGTGAGACCTTGATATATATTATTGGATCCTAAGAAGCATGGACACGGACACGTGACAACAGAGACACCGATGTGTCACATTCTAAATGTTTTATACAAGACAGAGTGTGGGATATGTTGTCAAATGGGATATGACATGTGTTTAATGCCATATTTTTTTAAAACATAAGACATAGATGGACACAATCATGAAGTGTTGGAGACATGTCCAGGAGTGTCCATGAAGAGTTGGTGTCCGACACAGACATGGCACCTCATAGAAGTGCCTGTGCTTCGTAGTAGGATATATTGCCCCATAGTTTAAGCTTAAGCTTTTAGGGCAAGCGGGTCTTTAATGGTTCTAATTTGCTTGTACTACTGTTTCAGGGACTTCCTCCAAGATCAACAGTGCATCCAATGAGGGTAAGTGCGTGAACTTGAATCATTTGGATTTCTGTATGTTAGTTGACACTTTTGTATTGATATATATTTGCTTATTACATTATTATTTGTAATTGTTATTACACTTTGCTATGTAGTATTGCATTATAATTTATATTCACTTCACTGTAATTTCATTGTATTAACTATGTTTTTTTATCTTTTTAGATTTGGGTTATCTTGTTATGGATGTTGATGTTCATAACCATATACTACGAGAACATTTTTTTTTTTGATAAGTAAATTGTATTAAAAGCGTTCAAAAAGGGGAACGCGACCCAAACTATACAAAGACAAAACGGAGCCAATGAATTCAAAGAACTCATAAAGTCAACAATCTCCTCAAGAGAGGAGTAGTCTCTCCCCTGACCCCAACAAAACAAATTACAAATGATAGAAAATTTTAACACCCCAATGGAGGATTCCTTTCCTTCAAAAGATCTTCCATTACGCTCTCTCCAAAGGCTCCACCAAATACAAAAAGGGATCACCCTCCAAAAAACTCTGACCTGAGCCCCCAGCCATTGGCCCCTCCACATATCTAACAACTCCCAAGATGTCCGAGGCATGACCCAATGAATACCAAACAGGCCAAACATCAAACTCCAACAATCATGAGCCACAGGACAGTGCAACAAAAGATGATCCACCGACTCTCCATTAATCTTGCAAAGACAACACCTATTAACAATGATATGTCTTCTCTTCCTCAAGTTGTCCAACGTCAAAATCTTACTCCAAGCAGCAGTCCACACAAAAAAGGCCACCCTAAGAGGCGCCTTAGACCTCCACACCGTCTTCCATGGGAATGAGGTACCATGAAAACCAGAAAGGCACACAAAAAAGGACCGGACCTGGAACATCCCCTGAGAAGAAGGCACCCAAATCAAGGAATCTGCCCCAGACCCCTCCATCTCCTGTCCGTAAAGAAGAGCCAAAAACCCAGTGACATCATCCAGCTCCCAATCCTGAAAAGCTCACCGGAAACGCACATCCCAAGACAACCTTCCACTATCAAGGCGATAATAGTCAGCAACCATTGCATGTTTGTCAACAGCAATCCTAAAAAGCCTGGGAAACAAAAGGGCCAAAGGCCTATCCTCACACCATGGATCCTCCCAAAACCGGACAGTTCTTCCATCCCGAACTCTGAATCTAATATGTTTGGAAAAAGCATCCCACCCCTTACCAATGGCCCTCCACACCCCCACTCCGCCAACAGACCTGACTGATCTAGCTGACCACCCTCCTCTCTCCTCCCCAAAGCGACATGAGATAACCTTTCTCCATAATCTATGTCTTTCCTTACCAAATCTCCAAAGCCACTTACCAAGAAGAGCACAATTGAAAGTGGCCAATCTCCTAATTCCAAGCCCTCCCAACCGAATAGGCCTGCAAACCTGTTCTCATTTGACAAGATGATACTTGAACTCTTCACCGCAACCCCCCCAAAGGAAATTACGTTGGAGCATTTCTAGTCTTCCTACAATAGAGGTTGGAATATGAAAAAGCGAAAGAAAGTACGTTGGAAGGCTTGACAAAGTGCTCTTCACTAACGTAACTTTACCGCCCTTTGACAGATATTGTTTTTTCCAACCCGCTAATCTTCTCTCGACCCGCTCAATCACCGGGTTCCAACTTCCCACCCTCCTAGCCGAGTCCCCCAGCGGCAAACCCAAGTACGAGATGGGAAAGCGTTGCGTCCCACATCCTAGAACAGCAGCCAGAGTGTCCACCTCCTGAACTTCCCCCACAGGAACAATCACACTCTTTCCCACGTTAACTTTCAAACCAGAAACAGCCTGGAACGAGAACATAGCTGTGACTAGTTCTTAAACCTCGTCCTAGGCCCACCAAATGGTCTAAAAACGTGATCTGCAGTCAGCTTCCAGGTTGCAGACGTATTTCATTTGACTCTTAAAAGATCATATGCTGGCAAAGTTTTGGCTGCCCTTTTTAATTTTTGATGTTGGTTCGTTACATCGTTCTGGTTTGATCTTCTGTACAAAATTGGACCAGTTCTCAGGTTTTAATCCACCAACTTTTTACGAGAACATGTCATGATGATTGCTATTTGAATCCTGTTTCTGGTATTCAGATTGGCAACCCAAACTAGGATACCTTAATCAAGGCAAGTAATCTATTAACCAAATGTGAAACTATATCCCGGTCGTACAAAGAACAACAAAGGGCAATTCTCGTTATTCAAACAACTCTTTAGAGTGTCGTCCATCACCGGAGAAGTCATTCCATCCATAGAAAGCAATGCTGCAGAAAAAGAAGAGACTAGCGTTATAGGTAAAAGCGGGTATTCTCCATATATGTCTGGTGGCGCACCTATACAACCAGAATTTGTTGTGTCATCGCAAATAGCTGGACCCGCCTTGCTCACTCTTCTAAACCAAGGAAGTATGGAATTTAGGGGACAAAAGCGATTGTTTTTTTTTTTTTTTTGGATGATACTTTGAGCTATAGCAATGTACTTGCCTTTAAATAGTAAGTGAGGTTCATAAAAGAGATAAAATATTCTCAGTCTCGGCTTGTTATTCGCGTTCTCTTTGCTGTGAATTAATATCGTATTTATACATTCTTTGGTCACTAACCGTTTATCTTAATGTCCTATCTAGTACTGTCAGTTGGCCGAACACCACCATCCCCCGCACCACCCATTCAGCCTTATATTTTTTTTTTGCACTGCGCTGTAGTTAATTTGAGCTGAGCTGGCTTGGACTGTATCCTATTCCTGATCCTATATATTAGGCCTGTCTTAAATTATATATGAAGTTATTTTGGTTAATATACCTCTCAAATCTTGACACTATAAATTCCACTAACCTGCATTCCATATTCCTGTTTCATAAGATGAAAACTCAGATTTATCCTCACAAATCTTCCTTTTTAATCTACATGTTTTTCTTTATCTTCTTCCCTCGCTGTACTTGGATTTGAGCTGAGCTGGCTTGGACTGTATCCTATTCCTGATCCTATATATTAGGCCTGCCTTAAATTATATTATGAAGTTATTTTGGTTAATATACCTCTCAAATCTTGACACTATAAATTCCACTAACCTGCATTCCATATTCCTGTTTCATAAGATGAAAACTCAGATTTATCCTTTCAAATATTCCTTTTTAATCTACATGTTTTTCTTTATCTTCTTCCCTCTCTCTCTACATGCACACATCACATATACATATTTATTTATATTATAGGGCATATATATTACAGGTGCTTGCACTTCTAACTTTAGAGATGTAACGCCCTACCTCTGACACATTAGATCAAGTTCAGTTGAGGCTTTGTGAGAAGCCTAACGCCAGCATGTTTGAACACTTGATAGAAATAAAGTATGTCCTTCCAATAGCAGCCAAGATCACAATATCATGTTGAGCCTAGCCGAGCCAAGCCAAGTGTGAGCTTGAGTGTTTAAGCTCAATCAGTTTGGGCTGAACTTGGTTTGGGGAAACTTCTTCACTTGGCATGAGCTTCTTCAATCACTTCCTTTTTTATATTTGGACCTACGAAGTTTGTGGTGTATTTTGCCCTCTAATATTCTTTTCAATCTGTATAAACAGTTAAATTTTTATGAACTGATTACGTATAAAAAAAAATGTTTATGAATTGATTAATTATTACTTATAGCATTCATTCAATTCTCGTTTGGAGAAAATGTTAATAAATTCTTCTTAGATCAGAACAAGGTGAATTGTGGTTCCTTGTTTTAGTTAATGGAGTATGCCATTTCATTTTCATGGTACATAGTTGAATGAAATGCTTAAGCTATTATTTGTTTGTTTTTTTAATTATTATTTTTTATTTCATTCTAATTCTACATGGTTGACTGAAATGCTTAAGCTATTTTTTGTTTTTATTTTTTTGATTTCATTCTAATGGTCCAGGGTTGAATGAAATGTTTAAGCTATAATTTTTCTCAGTCATGGTAAAAAACTTCTTGTAGTTATAAATGACTTCATAGGAGCCTAACGCATTTATTGCCTGTGATAGGTATTGTTCATGATATCCATTGAACCAGCTCCAATGCTTGAGGATAAAGAGAAATGGTTTGTGAATTGTTATTTCAGTTACCTTTTAGCGCCGTTCTGTCCAAAAGTTCACCTTTTTAAATTGAATTTACCTTTTGAGAAGGTTTTTGTGCATCTGGCTTGGAACTTTAAAATTCAAATAATGCAATCAGTAATTGTTGATCCCTGCTATATTAGGGCAGCTTAATGGATTTTGTAGCCATTGTGTGCTGTGTAGTTTCTAGATCTCATATTTTTGCATAATCTCAATTCGCATGGGTTTTGTTCTTCCGAAGCCCCATGGTTTTTGTAGAAGGAACTCCTAGTCACCATCAATTCTCATCTTTAACTGGACTTCAGCTAAATTCTACAGTAGTGTCATCCAACTGTTGATACTATCAAGGAGATTCTCAATAGATTCATTTTCCCAATGACTGTTATGATGATTAAGGCATGCCCATGTTTTCATCGAGGATAAATGGCTTGAGGTTTGGCAGTCAAAACTAACTCCTCTTGGTTAAACCCCATGTGCTCCCCTAATCCAGCCTCCAGAAGCCATTTTTTCTAGCATCAACATGCCAAATGTCCAACCACAATTCATAAAAGAAAATATGCATCATCCTCCATCCTGCTACTGCTTTCATTAGTGCCGCCATGCACTGTTAAAATTATTAGCATCATATAGTATAGTTTTTAAGCATAGGTAGTTTGCTTTTTCAGGTCTCTCGTGTTCCATGACTTTGTTGCAAAGTGCCTTACAAAAGAACCACGTCTGCGTCCTACTGCAGCTGAGATGCTAAAGGTATGTCAGAATAGTTTGGTATAAATACAAGAAATCACAATTTCTGAGATCTGTGGATGTTTGACCAATTACTACTATATAATTCACCTCACATATTTCAGAGTCCTCTCTCATTTAGAAAAAGTCTGTCAGTAAACACTTACTGAGTAGATAGTTCTAGAACTCCTGCATGTTGTCCCCACTTCATAAGCACAATTCCTCTCAGGAGTCCTATACTTTCTCTGATTTTTTCTTCCTCAAGGTGTCTGATTTCTTAACCTCTATTTTATAAAACTTGGGGCATTTTGATTGGCCAATTGTGCCCTCTTGTTGACAGTCTCTTTGAATTAGCTATTCAGTCCATTGTCTTCAAAAGCACGTGGTTCTTTCATTTACCTTAAAATTATAATTTTGGTTAAGGTGTGTTTGTGTCTATTTCCATGTTAAGGCTTTGGATATAATGCAAATTTTATTGAAATCTGGTGCATTTTCGGCAATTTATATATATCATGATGTTTATCAACACGGAAACAATCATTCTAATATGGAAAATAGAAATACAACCAGTTGCTGTTTCTTAAGGCTTTAAATTAGAAATATGGTCAGTTTTTTTTTTTTTTTCGGTGCCTTGGTAATGGAATTTTTTGTATCCAATTGGTTCAATGATTGATTCTTTTACAGTGTTATCACTTTTTACTTTACTGGGGAGTGGGGACATACAATTGTTATTTGGCATTATCTGTTTATCTGCATTTTTTTATTATTATTTGTTAAAGTGCTACACTTCTGCCTTGGAATTTTGAATGTGAAATAGTGCCTTAATTGTTTGGAAAATTTCGTATTCTGGTAGAACATGCTGCCTTGTGGGCCATAAACACTACGATTATTTACGAACAAAAAAATAATAATCTGGTGTTACTACCATATTACTGTTGTGGTTGCTTCATTTCCAAGAGAGCCAGTCAAACAAAAATTCTTTAACACGCATAGTAGTTATGAAAGTTATTGGTAAAAAAAATGTTGGGAATGCATGTTTTGATGATCATAGTTCAAATGTTTGACATAATTTTATATTCAATGATGAGTTAATAATGTACGGCACGGTCCATTTTTATACATACACACACATGCATAAGCCTCCGGAAACCATGAACTGCATGAAATTAAACACATGCATTTTGATTCCTTGGGGCATCCCCTGGTAATTGCACCATACATGTGGAACGGATGATTTCTTTTTCCGGGGAGATAAGTCGGCTGTTCAAATAGGCAGGGATACTTCCAAGTTATAAATATATATATATATATGTATATTTTCCAATTTTAGCAATATATATGTGTGTGTGTGCCTTTTGGTTTGACTTAATGCATATCTGGTTCGGTTATTATATTTCAAATCTTACTTGCACCTATTTTTTCTATATTTGAAACTTAGCACAAATTCATTGAAAAATGCAAAACTGGAGCTTCGGCAATGTTACCCAAGATTGACAAAGCAAGGCAGATTAGAGCCTCGATGGCTTTGGAAGAACAAAGTACTTCTCTAGGGACCTCAATGCCAGGAGATGGTGTATGACTCTTGTTGCAGTCTCTCTCCTTTCTTCAAAAAATCCTTCAAACTTGTATTTACTATTGCTAATTTTAACAGTCAATAGGAGGTCCCAAAGTGAATGAAGATTATGGAGATACTGTTCCATCAAGGCTTCATAACATTGGACTTCAAGGTAACAATGGTGTACCCACTGTGAGCAGTTTGGAAAAGCAGCACATATCTGAAGGTGTAGAACTGGCTGCAGAAGGTATTCTTGTCTTGATGAGATCTTTATATCATATGATCTGACTTCTATTCTCTAGAAGGACAGGTATTCTACCATGCAACTGTATAGTGACTTTGGCAAATTGGCACAGCAACAAATTGAGAATGGGAGTGGGAAAAAGGGTAGACAAATTTTTGGAACATGTGGATGAGTCTATATGGAGTTGGGAAGGTTGAGGGGAGCTTTATGAGATCCTTATAGTTTAAACAGAAAATTAAGTAGCAAATGGTACTTTAAATGTCTGATAACAGTCTTGATTCTTTAATATTGAGTAGCAATTCTCATATAAACTGACATCAGCAAGTGTTTGCCTTTGGCTGCATTCTTTGTTGGTTGTAGAAGCTACATATTCTTGAATGATGTGGACCAGCAAGATCAGGGATTTCTCCTTTGATGTTCTCGATTCACTGCACGCATAGTGAGACATTTTTGTTTTCCTATTCTTTGGCAGCCTCTCTTTCTTCTGTCTCTTCACATCCTCTATATCTGGGTCTTACCCCTCTTATGCTAATAAAATTCATCTATCTTTTACCAAGACCACAGTGAAATCTCATGTGTGAAGGAACACTATAAAAATCATTTATAGTGTTCCATCGAGGGCATTCGTTTTTTCTGGATAATGATTCGGTTGGAAGAAGAAGAGAGGACCTTCAATCGTGTTTGTTGGGTAAGTTCGACAAGGATGTGGGTGATAGGGCTCAAATCGCGGCTTGGGCTTCTCGTGTTTGGAAGGTTTCTTCCGGGGTTGTGGCCTCTCCTCTACCGGATTCTTTGTTGCTATTTCGCTTCCCCTCTTTGAAGGAGGCTTCTCGTGTGCTCAAAGAAGGTCGCCGTGTTTGGGGGACGGCCACATTATGAGTGGAATCTTGGAGTTTTAGGGTGGGGTGTTCCGAGGTGTTAAAGGGTAAGGGCCTGAAGATTGTGACGCTGTATGGTCTCCCTCTCCATCTTTGGAGTCATGCCCTGTTTGTGATGATCGATGATCTATGCGGTGGTTTCATCTGGGTGGATGTCGATGAAGCAATTGACGCTGGAAGGGTTCGCATCACAGTGTCCGAAGGCAAGGTTTATCCTCCTTTTGGTTTCATCCACGATGATCGTCTCTGCTACAAAGTGAAGATGTGGGAAGAGAAGCCTCCCGAACTTGTGCCGACGACGGATAGTTTGGAAGGAGGTAATGGTTCGCACTTGCTGAAGGAGACAGAATGGTTAAGGTGGGACTCTTTGGGGAAGAAAGGTTTGGCTAAGTTTCAGAGATGGGAGGAATGGAGGGACGATCTATGGAAGCGAAACTAGGAATGTTTTAGAAGATTATTCACTCTGAGAAGGAAAGAAGGCTTTTCGGATGGGACTGATCTTCGACGGCAAGAGAGATCCCGGGAAAGGCATAAGGGTGGTGGTCTCATCGAGTTTGGCCGTCCGGCGTTCACGCATATGTGGAGGAAGGAGCGTCACCATGGTGTTTCTCACGTCAATCAAGCGCGTGGGAGGGGGAACATTGACGGCCATACACGTGGTTGGCACAGAGGACTTGGCCGTTCAAAGTGGATGACAGCTGCATCCACTTTTATTTCAAAATCTTGGGCTTCAAAAAATAGTAAGGCCGATTTTGGGATTAAATCGGTGGTTGGGCCTAATAATGGGCTGGTGGGTAAAGCTTCTGGATCGAACTCATTTTCTTCTTGTGGGCCTATGGTTGGTGAGCCTGGATTAAATTGTCATCTTGTGGTCCGGATGGAGGTGGAGCGGCCCACTCATTAGATGTTGTATGTCTTGGCCAAGGACTCGTTGACTTGGGTTGTGAATTGAAGGGAGGACCAGGTTCTCCTAATGTTTTTTCTGGGCAGCATTGGGCAACCGTTACGGGCCTTTATGTGATGTTGTGGAAGACGTTGACATTCATCCGTCCAGAGCTTTCCCAGAAGGATCGAGAAGAATTCGGCGTCCTAAGGGGCATATGTAGGGACACCGTATGAAAAAGAAAGTGCTATTTCCCCCTCTTCACAAAAGATGGTCTAGAAAGGAAAAGCAGAAGTGGATTCCGGTTTCATAGATTGACTCAGGATCGGGTATGTCTTTTGTTTCACCTGATCCTTCTCCTTATCTCCCTTCTTCCTCTTTTCACCTTTGCGGGGTATCATGAAGGAGCTTGGTGCCGAAAAAAGGAGTGGTGTCTTCTGTTTCAAAATGCTTGTCCCCAGTTTTTGAAAGGGAGCCGGTGCCCATTTTTGAGAAAAGACCTGGTGAAGACGGTGGTATTGAGATGGGTTCCTCTCGGTTGTGTGATGTTAGTAGTGACGGAATTACTGTGTGTGGGCCGAGATGTGAAGATATTCATGATGTTTCAGCTGCTGTGCTCTTGAATGATTTGAGGGCTCATCTTGTGTCAAAGGGTTCTCTTATCGAGTAGAATGATCTTTTGGCTGATGAGGTGTTTGGGACCCCACTTTCTAGCTGCTCTCCATCTTTGTCATCTGTTGAGTACGGGGAGGATGGGTCGTGTTCCTCTGTTCATGGGGATTTGGGTATGGTTTTGTGGAACGGATGTGAGTTTGATTTTGATTTGCTTACACCTTTGGCTGTTGTTAGACCGGATGGGAATTTTGCGGAAGGGATGGGATTTGATGCAGGGTTGGCTGATTTGGAGAATGATTGGATGAAGGAAAAGGGAGTTGAGATAGGTTCTCTTTTAGGTGTGTCTTTTGAGGGTCGGATGGAGGAGGCGACAAGTTTATTCCTTGATGTTCTTAATGCTCAGTTTGCGGGTAGAATGGATAGTAGGGGGAGTGTTCCTGTGGAGAGAGAGTAGAGAGGGAGTCCAAGTCCCTCGACTTTCGTTACTTATGAAAGGAAGAGGAGGGGGGCTAGGGAGAGGGCCAATGGAAGGAGGGGTGAGACGGTCAACACTACTGTTTCCCTATGAAGCTACAAATTCTTTCATGGAATATCCGGGGTCTCAACGACCCGGCTAGAAGGAAAGTGGTGAAATCAGTGATTCGGAAAGCGGGCGGTCATCTAGTGTCTCTTCAAGAAACCAAGATTGCCTCGATGTCGGATGTGATTGTTCGAAGTTTGTGGGGTGGGAGATTCGTGGAGTGGTTTGCCTTGGATGCGATTGGCTCTTCGGGTGGTATCCTGATCATGTGGGATGTCCGTTGGATCTCTTTATTGGACTCTCAGGTTGGGTTTTTCTCGGCGTCCTATGTTTTGTCCATGGTGGAGGATGGCTTTCGTTGGGTTTTTTCTGGAGTTTATGGGCCTACGGAGGATCGTGGTTGCCATTTGCTCTTGGAGGAGCTGGGGGAGATTCGTAGGTAATGGTCGCTGCCTTGGTGTATCGGGGGGATTTCAATGTTGTGCGTTCCCCTTTTGAGAGGTCGACAGGGGCAGGTGGACGGTTGATATGATGGCTTTCTCAGAGTTTATTGATGCTTTCTGTTTATTTGATTTGCCTTTGGTGGGTAGGCCTTTCACTTGGTCCAGTGGACGTTTTCCTCCTACTCTTTCTCGTCTTGATAGATTCTTGGTGTCGAGTGATTGGGAGGAGAGGCTTTCTGATGTTGTTCAGGCCACTTTGGCTCGTTCTTTGTTTGATCATGTTCCATTGTTGGATTGTGGCGGGTTGCGTAGCAAAAGATCCCCTTTTAGATTTAAGAATATGTGGCTCCGGGCTGAAGGCTTTCTGGAGCGAGTCCGATCCTGGTGGGCGGGGTATGGAGTGGCTGGCACTTCTAGTAATTCTTTGGCAGGCAAGTTACGTTTTTTGAAGAATGATCTCAAAGTTTGGAACAAAGAGGTTTTTGGTAATTTGGCTTGGAGGAAGAATCGGGTTTTCTCTGAGATTGCTGATATTGATAAGATGGAGAGTCTGGGTCTTTTGACGGTTCCTTTGAAGCTTAGGAGGGTGAAGTGTCAAGCAGAGTTTGCTGAGATTGCTGTCATAGAGGAGATTTCATGGAGACAGAAATCTAGAGCTTTGTGGCTTAAGGAAGGTGATAATAACACTAAATTCTTTCATAGACTTGCCAATGCTCACAGAAGGGGCAACCACATTGGGAGGATTCGGGTGGATGGGGTGTTGTTTAGTAAAGAGGAGGAGATTTGTAAGAGTGTTTTTGAGTACTTTTTGAAGTTGTTCACTGAATCAGCAGGTTGGCGTCCTTTGCTTGATGGGCTTCACTTTGATTCTATTTCGGGAGAAGAGTGCTCTGTTTTGGAAGAGCCTTTTTCAGAAGAGGAAGTTCTCTCTGCTCTGAAGAGCTGTAATGGGGATAAAGCCCCTGGCCTGATGGTTTTACTATGAGGTTCCTTTTGGAGTGTTGGGAGGTGGTCCGTGAGGAGGTGATGGGCTCTTTTCATGCCTTCCATGTGCAGGGCTCTTTTGAGAAAAGTTTGAATGCAACTTTTATTGCTCCTATTCCGAAGAAGGGAGAGGCAATGGATGTTAGAGATTTCCGCCCTATTAGTTTGGTGGGATGTTTTTACAAGTTGATTGCGAAAGTCTTGGCCTCTAGGTCGAAAAAGGTGATGGATGGCGTCATTTCTGACTCTCAGAATGCCTTTGTGGGAAGTCGTCAGATTTTGGATTCAGTTCTTATTGCTAGTGAATGTGTTGATTCTCGTTTAAGCAGCGGTGTTCCGGGTGTTCTTTGCAAGCTGGATATTGAAAAGGCGTACGACATGTGAGCTGGAGTTTCCTTCTCTACCTGTTGGAGAGGATGGGTTTTGGTGGGCGGTGGAGGAGATGGATTCTTTTTTGCATTTCTAGCGCTCGGCTCTCTGTCCTTGTGAATGGAGCTCCAACGGGTTTTTTCTCTAGCTCAAGGGGCTTGAGACAAGGGGATCCGCTTTCCCCTTTCTTGTTTCTTTTTGTGATGGAGACTCTTAGCAGATTGCTGAAGAGGGCTGTGGAGCTGGGTTTTTTGAGAGTTTTTCGAATGGGCAGGGATGTTGCTAGTCAATTGGAGGTTTCCCATTTAATGTTTGCAGATGACACTATTGTGTTTTGTGATGCGAATGCGTCCCTAGTTGAGGTATTTGAGATGCGTTTTGATTTGGTTTCAAGTTGTTTCTGGCCTTAAGGTTAATGTTGGCAAGAGTCTTCTTGTGCCTATTGGGGATGTTCCTGAGATTGAATTGTTTGCTCAGATCCTTGGATGTTGTACTGGCTCTTTTCCCATTTCTTACTTAGGATTGCCTTTGGGAGCCCCTTCGAGATGTGTGGGGAGCTGGGATCCGGTTGTGGATAGATTTGAGAGGAGGTTGGCGGGTTGGAAAAAGCAGTACCTGTCCAAGGAGGGTCGGGTTACCCTGATTAAGAGCACCCTTTCTAGTCTTCCTACTTACTTCATCTCTCTGTTTCAGATTCCTTCTTCAGTGGCTGAGAGAATTGAAAGATTGCAATGCAACTTTCTTTTGTGTTTTGGGTGGGGGGACGGGGGGGAGGAGAAGAGTTCAAGTTTCACCTGGTTCGGTGGGATCAAGTGTGCCGTCCAATTCGGTTTGGAGGCTTAGGTTAAGGAGGTTGTTGCCTTTTAATAAGGCTCTCCTTGGTAAATGGCTCTGGAGGTTTGGGGTTGAGAGGCATTGACTATGCCACTTTGTATTTGGTGGTGTATTGGCTCGAGAGAAATAGGAGATATTTTGACGGAAAAAAAGAAGCTTGTTTCTATGCTTAATTTCTCTGTTATTTCTACTCTTTTTTGTTGGGTTTCAAGGAGAGATTATAGATCTACGGAGAAGATTGTTGTTTTTTTGGCCTCTCTGAAGGTCTAAGGCGCCCTTTGGCCCTTTTGTTTCTTTGGGTTCCGCTCCCCTTTTGAGCTTTTTTAATAAAATCTTACTTATCAAAAAAAAAAAAAAAATTGTCTTTGGTATGATCTATTCTATTCTGTACTGCCAAATTGGCAAACCTGACCATGAAAATGTATTTTTCAATTATATTTATACATTAGACTTTGTTGACAGGATCTATATTTTAGCACTACTTAAATACTCATTAATATTTACAAAGACTACTTGTTGCAATATCTAATATAAATAACAGGATTTTTGCTGAAGAAACAGGAAATATGTCCTGATCTTGAAAAAAAAGAAAAACAAAAACAAAACTTAAGATCAATACAGCTTCCAACACCCTTCTGCATGCTTGTAAGAGTGAATTCATGCTTCTTTAAAAAACATCTTTCATCTGAATAAGGATAGCATCATCTTGTGAGTGCTATTGATGGTTTGTGTGGGATATATGTTATCTCAGGTAACTTTGGGACTGTAATTGTTCGTGGTGGAGTTGACATAGATAAGACTGCTACCCAGACACCACTTCCCAATGCCAAAGAATCCTCACATGCTTCGGGGAATGTTAAAAGTCCTTTTCTCAGTGGTGCAGGGGATAAATCACTTGACAGCAGGTATTCTACTGACCATAAACTTCAAATACTTATAATGGTGCCTAGATATATGATTGCTTTTTCTTCATCTTTTTAATGGAAAAAAATCTGGTTCTACTCTCTCTGAAAAACAGATTATTTTTCAATATGTATATAGTTATAGGCGTATAGGTTTATTGAGCAATTGCGATACTGTATATTTGTAATGATAGACAAGTCCTACTACTTTGATGCATTTTCATTTCATGGTGGATCTTGTTGAGTTGACTTACTTATCAAAAAAAAAAATTCTTTTGTTATATTACAAATGCAAATTGGAAATTGACTAGTAACTGCCTCCCCGTCTTGTATGAGTAGCGTTCCATTTACATTTATGTATGATACATGTTCCTTTTTTTTTTTTTTTCCTCCCTCTTTTATCAACATTTTTTCGAGTAAGTCTAATCCACTAGGATGCCCTGACAGAGTGGGCAATGCAGTGGGTGTTGCTGCTGATAGCTTCCAGGCTGGTGGATTGCAATCATTTTCTCCTTCAATATTAGCCTCTAATGAGCAGAACTCCAAGGCAAATAGCATTTCTCAGGCACAGATAGGAGGTGGTGGCGGGGCGATCAATAGCACAGTGAAAAATGAAACTGTCAGTCGGAAAGCATTAGATAAGGTAATTTTAACTCGGAACTACATAATTGCTCCAAATAACATAAAAATATATATTTAAATAAATAAATAAAGATCAGAGGTGTCCCATCAATTTGTGTAATGTTGCTTTTGGAGTAAACAGGGTTCATGACTTAAAGTTCAGCTTGTGGTTAAATATTTGTCAATCTGGTAATGGATAAATTTTGCTGAGTTTTGGAGTTGGTGGATGTTTAATTGAATCACCAATCGGAGTCAGATAAAGCATTAGACTATGAACTTCATGTTTAAATTTGATCTGGAAGAAAGCGTTAATTTGGATAGAAGTGGAACCAGGTGCAGCTTAGGAACCTATCCCTTTGGTCTTGAAATGGTTCCATGTTTAATATTTAGATGCATACAAAAACTTTAAGTGCTACTTCAACCATTCATGAATGCTATATTTCCTACCTGGTGCATTTCCTGTCCGCTGCAGCACATGACTAAACCATCTTGGTCAGTTTACTATCATTTTATCTCAATAACTATAAGTGCCACTTCAACCATTCATGAATGTTATATTTATAATTTCATCCTTCTAAACACACACATTATTAGATAGCCAGATTTTTGTATTTTTTCAATTTATGGCCGAGATTTATCATTATTTTCAATTTATACATCTAAAACTCCATTTTTTTCTTCTTCTTCTTGTTCTTCTTCGGTTTTTATTTATTTATTTATTTTATTTGTTTTTGTTTTTGTTTTTCCCAGTAGCTATACTACACACCCACCCCGCCCACCCCTTTCTCTCATGGGGGGGACGAACCCTCAACCTTCCGTTTGGAGGGGGGAGAAGAATCAGTTGGGCCAAGACCTTGCTATTTAATTATTTTATTTAAAGAAGTAGAAAGAGACAGTTTTTCCTGAAAAAATTATCCTTTCTACATTTGGATGATTTCATGGCTGAATTCAGCTAAACTTTTTCATCAACCCAATATGGTGAACATGTCCTACTTCATCGTCAGCTGACATTGTGAATAGTAACTGATTCAAAAACATCACAAGTCTTGCTTTATAATTCTTATGGTTGTGGGTGCAAGTTAAATGCCTGCTTAATTGGGGTTCATCGCCGTTGTAGCTTTGGTCAATATACGCAGCTGGTAATACGGTACCCATTCCATTCTTGAGGGCAACTGACATATCACCTATCGCACTTTTGTCTGATAATGTGCTTGGAGGCTGGCATCAGGACGATGGTCGAACCATAGCTGTGGAAGCACTGCAGGAGCTTTTTACTGGTGATGGACAGTCTAAAAAGGGTCGAAGGGGACAGAATGAGGTTCCACCTCTCTCTCTCACACACACGCGCGCATGCGCCGTATTTAGCTGGGCTTCATTTATTGGATTTTTATGTGCTGCAGGTGCCCCTTCCTCCAAGTGTGTGCCAGAGACTGACTTCAAGTTCTACACTAATGAATCTAGTCCAGGCTTTAGCTTACCACAAAACGTAAGACTTAGTAATTTGTTCAATAATATTGTAATAGATATAACTTTGGCTTGTTACCTCTTTTTAAATTCTCTCATTCAAAAACACTAATAAGCTCAAATTTCTGCTTATTGTTCTCAAGGCACCAAATATTTGGGGTGCTAACAATTGTTGTTTAAACTCGAACCATTCTGCTAAAAGCATGGTTTGCGCCGCTATTTCTAATAAAGTTATTGTTGGCATGGAGAACTGCATAATGTTTATCGTCTGTTACTTGTTCTTGATCTCCCATAGCTTCTCGTACAGGTGTTACGAAGAGATGCCACTCCAGGAGCTGCAAGCAACGCAAGAGCAACAAACCATTCAGAATCTCTGTGATACACTTCGAACTATTCTACGATTGTAGCTAGGGAAAAATGTATATCTTTTTTCTTTATACATTTTTCCCCTTTTCATCTGTTTGTAATTTTTTTTTTTTTTTTTTTTTTTTTGGTGTTATTATTTAGTTTGTTTGCATCAACACAAGTTTTTCCATGTATATAAGTACATCAGCATGTGACAAGGAAATAAATGGCTATTTCATATTGCTCTTGCTACAGAGTACTACAATGTGCAAGATGGTTTATAACATGTAGGTTTTTCAAGGTATCTTTACTTGTTACCATACCTTTGTGTCTTGTCATTTAGTTGCCTGTGTTCATTTTTTAACAGTAAGAGAACTTGTAATTACATAGAGCCTTAGCGAATGTTGGCATTCGAGACGAGGCCAAGTTTTTCAATTTATGCTGTGTTCGGTAGGAAGGAAGGAAGAGGTGTGGAGAGGAGAGAAAATAGGAAGGAATGAATGAACTTCATTTGTTCGGTAGAGGTAGAGATGATATAAGGAAAAAAAAGGAAAATAGAAAGGATAGGTCATCCTTCTTCTTTTACAAATTTTTATCCATCCAAAAATGGGTGGAAGAAAGGAGGGAAAACAAGTGGAATGTTATAGAAATTTTAAATTAAATACTATCTTAAATTATGCATATTTTAAATAATAATACTATCTCTATAAATTACTATATTATAAATATTATTGGATATGATGGTAAAAATAATTAAAATGTTCTCTTTCCTTCACTCTCAACGAATATAGGAAATTATAATCTTATTGTCTTCTTCTATCCAATTGAATAAAAAGAAGAAATACACAATCTCTTCTCCAGGAATGTCTCATCCATCCCTTCTTCTTTCCCTTCCATTCATTTTTTTTTTCTTTCATACCGAATGGAGCATTAGGCTCCCGTAAAGTATTTTTCGAAAATTATTTTTCTCATTTTCCGGTGTTTGGAAGACTTAAGGTTAGGAATTTATTTTCCATATAAATCATTTTACCTAGTTATTTACCAAAAATGTTTTCGTAAGTCATTTTTCATAGGTTATCCTAGGTCATCTAATCATCCGTATTCTTATTAAATCCCTATGTTAACAGTTAATTTTTTAGTCCTCCCAATGTAAAAAACTAATCTTCAGTATTCTCTCTCTATATGTATAAATAGAGTGAGCTGAGAGAGCATAACACGAATTTGGGTCGTGAGCTTGTTATGGTATAGAGAAAGTAGAGAGAGTAAACGAGATGGTTTAGCGTAGAGAGAGAGAGAGAGAGTAACGAGGAGGGGGGGAATGATTTGGGGGTATTATGAAGAAAAAATAATTAATTGTCTAAAGAAAGATAGGGTTAATTGTGCACAAAAACTGATTTAAAAAATATTTTACGTACCATTGCCAAACACCGGAAAATAAAAAATAAAAAAAACATTTTACATAAAAATGTTTTGATTAGAAAATATTTTACGAGGAAAACATTTTATGTCCAAACAAATGGAGCCTTGAAGTAATACTAAATTTGTATACTTGAGGGTGAACAAATATTGGGTAAATCCAAATACTCGTACACAGATGAGATTAGGAGGAGACTTTCTGCCAGTATAGGAAAATGTTTTCTTATGTAGTCTTTGGACCATAACAATTGCAAGGCTACAATTTAGGCCATTGAAGCCATTTTCAGTTTTTGTTTAGTGTCGCTGTTCATAGTGGCACAAGTTCCCAAGTCACATAAAGAAGTGAGAACGAGAGCGAATTTGAGAGTAAGAACGTGAAAGCAGTAAAATTTAAGTCATACAGAGTGAGAATGGAATTGAGAGCGAGCATGGACGTGAGATCAGAAGCGCACTTGGAGTGTGAGATCAGTACTCATTGAGAAGGATTGTGTGATGTAGGGCACAACATCATACAAAGTAATGGCGAAGTGCGGAGTAGCAAAGTCCGCTGGTTATGCGCCAACTGTTGGTAGTTGAGTAGTGTACTCCCCACTCCCTTCTAATACGCCCCTTCGAAAATGACCCGCATCAATTCACTGGTTGTTTTCCAAGAAGAGAAAAATAATTTGTACCTCGTAGGGTTAAATAGTTACCTCGTTTTGGAGTTGCCAAATATGTATGTGTATAATAGTAGTAAACAACATCTCTGGATGCGGGTTTAAGATTTTGTACATCTAATCGATCCTTCTGAGATTCTGCAGCGACGAGAAAGACTTAATTCCCTGCACTTTTAATACTTTGCTATCTATGTCACGTCATTAATACAACTCGCGCAATTAAGTTTTTCTCCTATAGTGACGGGTCTCGTGCAGGGTTAGAAAAGAGAGGAAAATGAGAAATATGTACGTACACAAAATATAGGAAGTGATGTTTTCGTTGCTTCCGGACTTTTTCAATGACAATGGCCAATCAAGTTCATTAATGAAAACATTATTCTAGAAAAGATAGAATCACGAATGAAAGTGCGATAGAGTAATTAGGAATGACAACAATTAGTGAGAAAATTAGAGAATGTAGACTTAGATGGTTTAGACACTTGCATTGGAGTCAAGGGCGGATCCAAGGGTGGGCAAAGCTGGGCTTCAGCCCACCTAAAAAAAAAATTTACCATACTACTTTAAGCCCAGCCCAAAAAAAATAAAAAAAATAGTAATGGTAGCCCAGTCCAAAATTAGCCCACCCCATTCAAAAAGGCTGAATCCACCCTTGATTGGAATCTTAGTGATGCACCGATTAAACGAAGAATATTAGTTATAATAGAAGGTAGGAGACAGGGCGATAAAAATGGAGTTATTAGAAATGACTTTAAGAACTTAAATATGATTAAGTGAAATGACATGTAATAGAAAAAATTAGAGATGAAGAATTCATGCGACCTATCCATTCATATCAAATGGAGAAAAGGATGAGATGACGATACTTTTATGACAACCTTGATTGATTGATATATAAATAAAGAGTTACATTGAGCATAAAAAGAGAGAAATGGAAGGGTCTGATAAACATCAGAAACTTGGACCAGCAATAATACTAAAAGCTCCATCCCACACAGTGATTTTCACATTACAGATTATTGTAGAGTATCTCCTAGATAGGCATATGTTATACTTTTTCTCTACATACAACTAACTTGCAACTCTAGCTCTACCACCCGAAGACATGTATGCTACACACACACACACACAACTAGTAATACAGGGTCCACAATCCACATTGCATTAGTCCACTAAGTTACATGTAATAATGAAAAGAAAGAAAATCCATAGAAGTTGTGGAGGAGTTATTTAAGTGCTTGACTTGAGGTGGAGAAACAGAACAAGCAAGGCAAGGAAGAGAGAAACAAAAATGGGAATTGATCAGCCGTCGATTCGCCATTTTTACTTCCTTCCAGCAATATTAGTTCTGCTGTTTCTTTTCTGCACAAGTAGTCATTGTGCAGTTACTTTGCAGAAGATCAATGGAAGCACTTGTTTGAATGGCACGATCGGCGAATGCTACATTGGAGAAGAAGAGTTCTTCATGGACTCTGAAGTAAGCAGGCAGCTTTTGCAAGCTACAAAGGGTTTAGATATACACAAGGCTGTCAATAATGCAGACCAACCAATCTGTGAAGGCACAAAAGCATACCGCGATTGCTTGCCGGAGCCAAAGCCTGATCATGACCGTGGTTGTAAAACTGTCTATCGTTGCCGGCCCTGATAATAATTCAAGAGAAATTGCATGTCCTCCTGATCTATATATGTATTGCATGTCTTTTTTTCTATGTTAGGATTTGTTATCTTATCTATGTATTTTCTGTCTTTGTTCAGTGGTACACAGTGTCCGCTTACTCATGAATGAGAAAGTTGTTGGCAATTTCACTACCTTTTGATGCAATTCACTTGGATTGAATGGACTCAACTATGTTTGTGTGTCTTTGTATGTGAGTTGATAAAATGCCCTTTTTGCAATTAAATGCATATCAATATTTTATTTCACATAAAATGATTTGTAATCCGACAGTCTGACTACTCTAAATGGTTTATTGTGACGGGGCATGCCCTATCATCACACGCCTTTCACTCACAATGAATCATTCAGAATAATCCGACTACTAAACTCTCTATCAGACTCTTATTTCTAAGGTAGATTCCTAATTTTGAATTTTTCAACATATATGATTTTCAATGCGTTTGGGCATTTCACTTAGAGACAGCTGCTTAATACAAGTTGAAGTCTAAAGTAAAAACGCTAAATGAGTTCTTTTTCATGTTTAATATATTAATAATATATAAATAACATTAATCCACTCTACATCCCAACAATAACAAAAATTAAGCATTTTTCCACATTAACCAACTCCATGATATAGCGGATAAAATTAATTTAGAATCCATTATTCTCGCTTTTTAATATATGAAATTATCAATTTAGTTTTTATATTGAAGTTTTTCTAAAAAAAAAAAAAAAAAAAAAAAAAAAAAAAAAAAAAAGAAGAAGACGACAAATTTAATGCACTAGGCTCTTGTTATTGTGAGGTCTGGAATACGTCAGATCATAGTTCGTCGTATCGGGCGATATATTGTTCATAATCCTTTTTCAAGGGTCTGATACTGTTACATATCTCTATGAACTGGCAGATTCGACTGGTTTGCACCGATATGGGCCTGAGTAAGTTACACCGCAACCAGTACCGATGCCGCGACTGCAAACCATATATAAGATGTATGCAAAGACAATGTCACAACGAAAAAATGTTATAATTGCGCAAAAACTCACCCTCAAGTATTTAAGAAATCTTACAGTAATACTTGGTAATACAATAAACAAAGGAAGGAACATCTACAAATAATATCCTACCATCAATATAATGAAATTAAGCACATCACTAAACCCTAATGAGAGTCATCTTTCTCCCCAAAATCCATTGTATATATCTGCTAAATGCTTTGTAATTAGTAGTATGAAGACCTTTGTGGACTGTTTGAAAGAGTATAAGAAATATTTTTCCGGTCAAGAATAAATGATTATATATATGTTAATGGAAACTATAAAGCCATTCATTTAATGGGGTTAATCTCAATCCAAGTGACAATATTCTAAACACAATGAGAATGCTCCTGCGCATGGTAAATTACCCACCCAATTTCCACTTGTTTGGTTGTGCAAAATTTTCATTGAACACATTGAATGAATGGGCAATTCCATGAAAAGACATCAACCTAATCGATATGACCAAGGCTCCCTCCCTCCGAGTCCACATAACTTATTTTCTTATTTTAAACACTGGCCTCTAAATTATAATCATCTTTATTTTGAAAACGTGGTCTTTAAATTATAATCGAGCAATTTTGCAATGTAACTGTAATAGACATTTTTGTCATGTTTGAATTTTTTTTTTTTTTTTTAACCACATGTCAGTCGAAATAACATACACCATCCTTAACTTGCACATGTGCTCTGTGGATAAAGGCTTTGTACGGTGTGACAAATGGGCAAGTTGAGTCGGATTTAGATTGGGTTGGAAATGGGCGGGTCAAACATGAGTCAAGACTCATATTTAACCCGTTCAGATGGGCAGGTTGAGTCGGATTTAGATTAGGTTAGAAATGGGCGGGTCAAACATAGGTCAAGACTCATATTCAACCCGTTCAAAACGGGTTGAAAATGGACAAATCAAAATGTATTGGGTCAATCCGTTATGACCCGTAAATCCATTAATTAATATTCTTTAAATATATTTTTTAATTATTGTTATTTTTTATTTTTATATTTTTTAATTTTTTAAAATTTTTAGTTTTTTTCGAAAGGTTTTAAAATTTTATTTACCAACAAATTAAAAAAACAATCTCAAACTCAACAATATTTATCAACTCGTTTTAAAGAGAGAAACTTAGAGAGAGGGGATTGATGAGAAACAAATTTAGAGAGAGAGAAGATCGTGAGTGAGAGAATTTGAGAGAGAGAGAGAAATGAGTTGAGTGCAATACAAAATAGATGTGTATTGTGTGTCTATTATTTGATGAATGAAATATGGGTTGAATATAGATATCCATATTCAACCCATTTTGACTCTCAAATTAAATGGTTAAAAATTACCTAATCTATTTTTGACTCATTTTAAATATGGTTCACCCAAGGTTATTAAAAAAAAACTGGTTAATATGAATGGATTGATGGGTTGTGACCCATTTTGTCACCCCTAAATACAACAAACCATAAATCACTCCTAATTCTATCGCAAATAATTACATATATGAACCGGAATTTGCAAATCATTCTAGAGTGAGCCGCGGACTTTTATTTTAAAGAGATAATTGGTGACTCATAGTTACATCACCAAGTAAAATATAATAAGCGCGCGCAATATAGATTAATTTAAATTTGTCTAATTCAATGTATGTCCTTTTTATATGAAATATTAGAGAGAGAGTAATTTTTATCATTATCTTTTTAAATCCTTAATTGAAAACATACCACAAAGACCTGCCTAACACTCAACTAGTCAACTAAACAATCTTGAAACTCGTGAAATTAGCGAGAATTCTCCCTAATGGATTCTCGACCTTCTAAAAGGTCTTTTCCACCAAGGTATTCTAAAAGTTCTTTTCCACCAAAGTATTTAATTCATAATTCAATCTTAAATTAACTGTTAAAAAAATAAAAAAATAAAAAAATAGAAATCTTAAATTACCACCCAAAGCTCCAATGTGGTACCTCCATCACCATGAACACTACCAACAAGCCCCCTTCACTCTTCACCATACTTGCTTCTTTTCTCTTCCTCATCATCACTTCCACCTCATCCTACACTCCTCCGGACGACATCGCCCTAAACTGCGGTGAAGATCACGGCGATATTGCAGCATCAGATGGCCGGAAATGGACCCGCGACAACCCATCCAAGTTCATTTTCTCACCACAACAACTCGACACCTCTTCAGCCTCCACAGCCTCCACCCAAGACTATGCCCCACAAGTCCCATACATGACCGCTCGCATATTCCACTCTCAACTCACCTACACCTTCCCCATGGCCACCGCCGGCCCCAAGTTCCTCCGCCTCCACTTCCACCTCGCCTCCTATTCCGGCCTCAACCCCTCCGACTCCTTCTTCACCGTCACCGCCAACAACCACCACACTCTCCTCCACAACTTCAGTGCTTCCCTCACCTCTCACTATCTCAATTCGACCTACTTTTCTAAAGAGTACTGCATCAATCTTGTATCAGAGCGTAGCTTGAATATCACTTTTAACCCGAATACCGGTTCTTTCGGATTCATCAATGGGATTGAAGTTGTTTCAATGCCCACTAATCTATACATCCAAGGCCTTGACATAAACATTATAGGCCAAAATCAACCATTAAACATAGATAACAACACCGCCCTCGAAAACATTTACCGGTTAAACGTTGCCGGGCTAGCCATATCGCCGGTGGACGACACCGGGATGTTTCGATCCTGGTCGTCCGACGTCGACTTCATCGATGGTGGCGCCGGTGCAGATCCTTACCATTTCACGCTTAACATAAAGTACACCAAGGTACAACCTTACACTGCACCAGAGATACTCTACCGTACTGCGCGGTCTATGGGAACCAATAGGTTCATCAACGAGAACTACAATCTGACGTGGCGTTTCCCGGTTGATTCGGGATTTTATTACCTGGTCAGGCTTCATTTTTGCGAGATTGCACCGGAGATAACGGAAATTAATCAGAGGGTGTTCGAGATCTTCATGAACAATCAGACGGCTGATGATCAGATGGATATCATTGTTTATGCTGGTGGCAATGGGGTTCCTATATATAAAGAGTTTGTGGTAGTGGTCCCACAAGGAGGCGGAGGCAAGGTTGATCTGTGGCTCGCGTTACACCCTAACACAAGGGCGCATTCTACGTACTCTGATGCTCTCTTAAATGGGTTGGAGATATTCAAATTGAACAAAAGTGATGGTAGTCTCGCCGGACCAAACCCTGACCCAGTTTATGACCCGATTTCAAATGATTCCGAACCAACGGTGCAGAGAATGGATCATCCGGACAAGCCCCGGATAGAAGTAATCATTGTTGTTTCGGTATGTGGTGGAGCGGTTGTTCTGTCAATTCTAATTTTGTTTGTTTTGCTACGTGGAAAGAGAGGTTATTCTTTCGGGTCAAGTTGTGGGCCCTCGTTGCGGAGTCCATATTCACAACCTGGATCATATTCGTCAAAAACCGGGTCCTTGCCATCGGATGTTTGCCATAAATTCTCGCTTGCTGAGATTAAATCCGCTACGAACAACTTCAGCGATGCTTTGTTAATTGGGCTCGGAGGATTCGGCAACGTGTATAAAGGTCAAATCGACAATGAAGATGGGTATAATTATGTGGCCATCAAGCGATTGAATCCGATGTCCCACCAAGGGGCCCACGAGTTCTGTACGGAAATCAAAATGCTCACACAGCTACGCCATCTGAACCTCGTGTCTCTTGTTGGTTACTGTGATGATGATGAAGAGATGATCTTGGTCTATGATTACATGTCACGTGGGTCCCTCCGTGATCATCTCTACAACACCGATAATGCTCCTCTATCATGGAAGCAGAGGCTCGAGATCTGCATCGGAGCGGCTCGTGGGCTGCATTACCTTCATAGTGGCGCGAAGCACATGATCATCCACAGAGATGTGAAAACCAGTAACATACTACTGGACGAGAAATGGGTGGCAAAGGTTTCTGATTTTGGGTTGTCGAGGGTGGGTCCCACAAGTATGTCCCGCGCCCACGTCAGCACGGTCGTGAAGGGTAGTTTTGGATATTTGGATCCAGAATATTATATGCGTCAGCAATTGACTGAGAAGTCTGACGTGTACTCGTTTGGAGTGGTGTTGTTTGAGGTTTTGTGCGCCAGACCGCCGGTGAATAAAAATGGAGATATGGATGAGGTGTGTTTGTCACATTGGGCCCGGTCCCACCAACGAAGTGGGACGCTTGATCAGATCGTTGATCCAAATCTGGACGGTCAGATTGCACCCGAGTGTTTGAGAAATATCGGTGAGATTGCGAGTAGTTGCTTGCTTGATCAGGGGATCCAACGGCCAGGGATGGCTGATGTGTTATGGAGTCTTGAGTTCGCACTGAAGCTTCAGGAAAGCGCCGAAAAAGGCCGGAATTACAATGAATTGGAAAATAAATGGATTAGTTTATATTCCAATGATAGTGTTAGTGTGAACATGCCTGGTGATGTATTTTCTGATATCAAAAGTCCTAGAGGACGGTGAGAATTTACTTGTTAAAATTCTCTGAATATTGCACGGTATCGAACTATCGAACGACTCACAATATATATCAAATGTGTGAATGATGTGAAATGTGGTAAACTGTGTATTGGCCTAACAATGATCGAGTTCGATGATTATCAATTGGTATTGTCATACGCACATACACATGTATATAAATATAAGAACACATACCAATCATAGTATCCCAAAATATATTCAACGTGGTGAGTTTAGCCCATTAACATGTACGTGGCTTGAAAATTTCTAAAAATTTATATCTTATCTAGAATTAAAAAGAATAGTTAAATTGCCTTTGATTATTTAGCAAATATCATATAATGGACTACTTGTGCCATTAGTAACGCATAGAAATACATTCACCTTTCTTTGGAAATTTTGACTCTCTTCAGCCTTCGAATCGTTTAGGAGCTTCTTTCTTCATTTTAATTCTTTTAATAATATATACAGGGGCAGAGCCAATGTGTGCCTAGGGGTACATGCCCCTGCCCTGGCCTAGCCCCGCCTTATGTATATATATATAGCTTTTATTTTATTTTTTACATATATATATATATTTGTATATTATGCCCTCCTTAAAATTATTAATTTCCAAACTTTTTTTAAATTTTTTTCTCTTTTATTCTTTAAATTTCTTTAATTACCTTTTTTTAAAAGTTTAATTCCTCTTATTTAATCATGTTCTAATTTGTTTCCTTCAAAATTCATTTTTCTTTTCCTTTTTCTTCTTCTTATTATTCTTATTTTTAAAAAAAAACCAAAATTCCCACAATGCTCCTAAATTCAAATCCTCACACATATATAAGCATATATGTGAAATAATCTATCTTATGATCCAACTCTTGGTGTCCTTTTTAATTTCCCAATAAACTATCGTAGACATCAATATTTAAGTACCATTGATATAAATTTTACATGATCTCTAATACAACAAATGTTCTTAGATTCACATTCTGAGTGACTTATTTATGAAGGTCCAATGCATGAATCAAAATGCTTAAATTATCATGTCCATGCAAGTACGTACTGATAATTGGGGAGCTAGAAAACAGATTGATATTTCCATTCTATGATGACCAATTAGGTGCCCAACCCATTATTTGATAGGCTGACCCACTGTTAAAAGAGCATTATTTGCCTTCAAAAATACTTTAGATTGTGAGACTTGTTCAATAATTAAAGATGGACAAATAATTTGTAAATTTGATTCGATCGGATTTAATTGCTATATTCACAGATCGGTGACAGATTCTAAAAAATTTGAATTCATAATTCACGGATTGAACAGTTAAAATCCAATCTGATCCGATCCCTAAGTCTGATCCGATCTAATTCGCGAGATTAGATATATGTATTCAAAGAATGTATTAGTTAATTTAATTAGTTTTTTTTTTTCTTTCTTTCTTTTTCGAGTATGTGTATTGACCCCATAATACACGCACCATTTAAGTCAGGAGTGCGGTTCGAAAACGAGATTTCAAGGACTTACCTCTCGAATTCATGTTAACACGGCTATGCACTGAGGCAGTTAATTTAATTAGTTAATAATCATTTAATAAACTCTAAGAATGTATTAATTAATAATCATTTAAATATATGAATTAATATTAATAAATTAAAATTTTATGTATTGGGTTATGATTAAACAATAAACAATGTTGTACAATTTAAGAAAAATCACAAACCGTGGATCCGATCCGATTAGTCATTCTACGGATCCAATTCGATCCGCTATCCCACGAATCGGTGGAAGATTAAGATCTTTCTAATTCATTGGAAACGAATCGAATTAGGGTTAATGCCTAATCCAATCCGTGACCACCCTTAACTATAATAGTCAGGTGGTCCAAATCACTCAAAGCATGATCATAAGCGTGAGCGTTGATGACCCTCTATTAAAATACAACACGTCCACTGCAGTACGGTACGACAAGTCTCTACTGCATGTTAAAACTTATAACACCCGTACTATAATAATCAAGCGGTCTAGATCGCTCATACTAGCATAATCATACATGTGAGTGATGATGGTCGTCTACTTACAATAAAGCACGTCCACTGCAGTATAATACTCATGCCATAAAAAAATCAAATCTAATGGATAAAATTGGACTAAAATTTGCACATTTGTTAAATAAATTGTTTAACTATCGGCAACCGCATGGAACTAAGGAATTGTTTAACTATCGGCATTCATCACTTCGCAATGTCATTAAACGTTGTTTTAGAGTACGAAAGGCTCGTTTTCCCATTTTAAAACTTATGCTTTGTTATATGTTGGTTAGACAAAGACTTATAATAACTGTTTGTTGCACAATTCACAATTTCATTCGTTAAAATATGTTAGATGATCGTTTTTTTATGGAGTATAGGGAAAAAGATGTTAATGTTGTTGATGGGGGGAATGGTAGCTAGTAGTGCCGGTGTACTGAAAGCACTTAATTTATTTGATGATGGTGCATCACAAATGGGAGCCTTTAGAACTCATCTGACGAATCAAATGTGGACATCATTCGGAGGCAATGCTAAATGAAGTTACTTTCATAATTCTTCAATGTTTTGTCTTGATTAGCTATTTATGTAATTCTCTAATGTTTTGTTTTGGTTATGTATCACTAAACTTAATGTTTGTACAACTAAAAGTGCATATGACACTTGAAGTAATTCATGTAACTCTTTTATTATATTTAAATTTAGTCAAGTTTAAATTAAACTTGATATATTGTATTTGTGCAACTTTTATTAAGTTAAGAATACTATCTAAAATGAATGCACCTTCAACACTTATTTAAAATATATATATATATATATACACACACACACACACATTAATAGTTAATATCATAAATTAATGAAATAAAAGAGTGAGGTACAATAATATTTTTATTTATTTTCTTAGTTCAGAAAACTATTTTTAATAAATACAACTAAACAGTTTTATAAGTTCTTGTTTTCTGAAAACTGTTTTGTAAATTTTCTTAAACAAGTAAGTTAAAAATCTGAAAAAACTAAAAATTATTTTCTATTCTGATTCTCTAAAAATAATTCTTTAAAACTATTTTTATAAATGCAATCCAAGCAAGGCCATTGCTTCCAGAAATATGCCAACAGCTCTCATGGTTATCCATTGTTTGGATTCTACTTAAAAAAAACAAAGACATGCTTTAATTGAAATGGGAATTTCAAATGTGTACTTAGGAGCAAATATAGATCGAGATAGCGTGTAAGAAAGAAATTGTTTAACAATCGACATTCGTCACCTTGCAGTGCAATCCAGGCCATTGCTTCCAGGAATATACCAACAGCTCTCATGGTTATCCACTGTTTGGATTTTACTTAAAAAACAAGGACATGCTTTAATTGAAATGGGAATTTCAAGTGTGTATTTAGGACCAAATATAGAGACCCTTCCTTGAGTACGGATCTCATGTCCAATAGGCATTAGCCACCAGACCAATATTGCTTGTTGGCATTTAAAGAAAAGTTTCCATCACAAATTCATATCAGATTGTAACAGCCCAAGTCAATTAAAAGTGAACGAAACACACAGTGGACCACCAAATTAAAGCTTCATTTGCAGATTTTTATTTTTTATTTTTTATTTTTTTCAGATGCTGCAAATAGCTTGTTACTGTTGATGTTACGTGGATTCGGGTAAGTACGTATCATGTGTCCAACTGCACATAATGGGCATATATCCTATATAAAGTATTGCACGGAAGTGGGGAGCCGCCTTCACCGAAAAAAATTTATTTATAAAATTACCTATAAATTTTATAAAAACCTTTAAAATATCCCTACTTTTTTGTGAAAATTTTAAATAATCCTCTCTCTCAATTTTTAATAATACTCCATCATATTTTATTGTTATTCAAAGTCGTGCCCTCTCATACAAATCTCTAGATCCGTCACTGATTACACAGTCGGTTGTAACCAGGGGCGGAACTAGTAATGGGCTCACCTAGGTTATAACCCATGTCCAATTTAAAAAAAAAAAAAATTTGGTATTATTGTTCCTATAAATCCATGTACTACTCTTCTTCTTCCTATCAGCACAATTCATAATATTTCTATAAATAAAAGGTGTTATAAAATTTACAAAGGAAGCCTTAAATATAAGCAAGTCTACGAACCATAGATAGGCCCAATCACAAAAGAAACCATAAAAAAACATAACAGCACCCAACCCAGCAAACCAAACACATTGTTAGTATATGGAAGAAGGTCTATACTCTTCGTGTGTAAGGCACTACGGCATAGGGGGATGTATATCATGGATTATTATTGTTAATCTAGTGAAACATAGATTTTTATTTTTGTAAAAAAAAAGGCTTTGTTGATGACTTAATGGTTTCTTGTTAAATTGGGTAATTTACTATATAATGGATTAATAACTAGTCTGGATCGGAGCACATAAGTCTTATTTTCTAATGTGAATTTATTGATAAGGAACATATATATCTTGCATTCTTGTAGGTGTTTGTTTTGATACTTATATGAAACATACTTCAATGAATTATTGACTGTGAAAACACATTAAAGTTTGGAAATGTAAATGTGTTAGAAGGTTGTAAATTATTGGGTCTAATTGAATGATTGATGCATGAGAATTTTGTATTTAGAGCATTAATGACACACTAAGTAATCATGTATTTAATTATTTTTAGCCCTCTCTGCTTTGTAATCCTGGCTCCTAGTTGTAAAGCTGACATTTGTAATGGCCTTTGCAATATAATTTATCTTTTATTTACCATGACAAAAAAATTACAATTTTTTTTATATTTTTTATTGAATTCAAATTTTCCCTAATAAAAAATATAAAAAAAATTACAAGGGAAAATTTGAATTCAAACCTCGTACTTTAAAAAACAAAAACATAGGATAAGTTACACTAGTCTCTTTGTCTTAGTAATATATAGTTTGCATATATATGATTTTTGTTTGAAAAAGGTAAGGATATTTTCAGATGCATCGAGTCAAAA